TTTTTGGGAGGGTGTGGGTTGTGAAGAGTGAGAGTGAGAGAGTGTGAGAGTGAGAGTGAGAGAGTGAGAGAGAGAGAGAGAGAGAGAGAGAGAGAAGCTGGTAGTTTTATGTATGTCTGAGTGGGGGCGGACTCATCCAAAAACGTTTTTTTGTTTTTAGTTTTCAAACTAGATAGTCCCCAGAAAACACTTACACCAGAGTGGGGACTCTGTGGAACTACAATATAGACCTTATACCAATTGTAAAACCTATTTATCATTCCAGCATCGAACCTATGTGATCAAAAGTGCATTTCTTTCAATTGTGGGTTGTGTTGTATAAGAGGAAGCATTTCTCTGCATCCCTTTAGCTCTCGGTTGCTGTGTAAAGGGGATCCAATGTTTTGTTGGAACTTGACTCTCAGTATTTTCTTGCCAGAAATCATATTCTCTCATATTTGTCCATCTCTCTACGTTTTTTGCCGTGTGAAAAAGTATTTAATGTATTTCTTAACGTGTAACAAGTGCTGCTGCTGAGTCTTTTTGAACGAGGAGTGCAGCAGTATTTCAGCACCTCGGACAGAGATACTGAGGCCTCAACGCTAATCCAGCAGACAGAGACTCTCACTGCTTATTCAAAAGAAAATCCCCGTTTCCTATCAAATGCAAAATCATGTGAATAAAATCGATAAATGCGCGAGCCTATACAATACAATATATTTTATTAAGCGGGACATTTAGGGATTCTTCTATTATTTCCACAATGTACATTTGGTGAGCAACGTCACTGAACATTAAATCAGTCAAAGCTACGCAGATTCCGAAATGTAGAACACACAATTATGTGAATATGTACTTTATAAATTATATGATTATTCTTTAGTAAAAGGGCTTTAAGTCGTCTCTGGTGGCTGACATATGTCGCCTTTTTTTCTTTTTAATAAACTCGTCGGCGGCCTATTTTCAATATGTTCAGCATCCAAACGCAACACCATTGACAGCACAAAACATAAAGTAAAAACTTCCATTCGTGCAAAAAAAATGCCTTGGGCGTGAAAGCACTTCTTCTCTTGTTGTCCATAATTCCATATACTGCACTGGGACGGAAACCATATATTCTTTAAGGCTATACAAACATAAAATAGAGCATAACACAGTCGGCCTGTCCACTCTCCATCTTCTCCCTTGTCCGTTTTGCCCACCCGTTTGTCTGTTGGCAAAGTGTTGTTTTCCCAAGCAAGAAAAAAAAAATCCACATTCCGGACAAGCAGTGGCCGATCATCACGTTAAATCATCCAGATCGCGTAGAAGTTGACGGATGGATTTGAATATATGAAATTCCAAGGAAACGTTCATATTTGACTAGATAGTGGACGAGTGTAGGTATACAGATATTCGTCGGCTTCCTTGGCTGACAGTTATTTAAGTTGAAAATAAATGGCATGTTGTTTTTTTTTCGTTTTTTCTTTTTGTTTCCTCAACCTAGGCAGAGTCCCGTGCGACGTGGATAATCGCCGATTAGATTATAGAGGAAAGACTAGAAAGCCTGAGAAGGTGGAGTATTTCCATCCGCCCATTAAGGTGCCTCGCTCCAGCTTTAGAGAGACACGGTCCTCGCGCTCCACCATCAGCAGTACTCCGTTACTGGCCGCCTCTCTCGTCACGTCCTGGTCCCCGGCGAAGGCTGATATCACCGGATAATCATTCTGCAGCAGGTTCACCTGCAGGAGAGGGACACTTTAGTCTCAGGATCTATCAGAGGCAGGCTAAACGCAGACTATTTGTTTCATTAGTGCTCACCTGTATGGTTTGTCTGTTGTACACCTTCACTACGTGAAAGCTGAAACTATATATCCCCCTCCTCGGAGCCAGGAACACACTTGCTTTGAGATCGAAATGGTTGCCGATGTTCACTAAAACCTGTGACCAAGAGGGACATGACATGAGATATTTATTTATGTAACCATCTGCATGCTTCATTTAACACAACAGCTGGATTTGTAGCAATCATTTTTTGTGGCTTTACAGAGAGGCATTCAGTTTCTGGCGTTCCAAATGTCTTAAGGCTGCACTTTGGGATGGTTCCAAATTTGATGCGTATAACAGGCCGCTGTCCAAAGACCTGAGCCGTGACAACTAAGTGGAACATCCGAGAAAAAGCAACACAAAGCACCTGTCAATGCGGCCGAGGCCTCGCCTGTGATCAATGATCCTGCATGGATTACCATTCCCTTTGACAGCGCGTCTCTGGATCGCGCCAATTACGCACAGCATCCAATGAATCATTTTCAAAGGAAAACAGGATTATGTTCTTAAGGTTAGAGATACTCAGGGCTCAGATCATACAGAGCGAGAGCAGTGAAACATAACCTTTAACTCGTCCTTATCGCCCACGGCAAATACATGCTAGAGATAAATAAATAAAGATGCAATGGAGCTAACATATCTGATTTATTTTTCGACTTTTGCCGGAATTATGCTAGTCTTTAATTCAAGGAATATCTGACCTGGTCAAAGTAGATGGTCATAGACGTGTTGCTCATATCTGATGGCTCGTGGTTGGTTCCACGCACGGCGGAGAAAGCCACCTTTGCGCCAGCAGAGCGGACTGATATGCCAAGTGAGGAAGTGACCCCGTCCGAAGAGGGGTTTGAGTCGCACACCACGAGACACTTCCCTTCCAGCACGATGGGCTCCGTGTCGTTCTGGCCGCATAAAACCACGCCGCATCCCAAGAGGAGGACCAGTGCCAGGGAGGCACAGGGTCCCGGGCAGCGTGCGGGCACCATGGTCGGTCCGCTGATCCCGTGCACACTGATACAACCCGGCAGCCCCTTGGAGGTTTGTTAGTACTCGATCACCTGGTCCAGATTTCTCTTCCTCTCTCTCTCTCTTCCTCTAGCTGTGATGCTGCCTCACTCTCTCAAACAGCCTCTGACACACAGACGCGTTCCGGCTGTGACTCCCCTCCCTCCTGGGCGTCTTAGTTGATTTGGGGAGAGTATTCAGACAACTGTTGTTGTAAATCCTGATGATTTAAGACACAAAATCAGAATGCTCGTATCAGACAGCAGTGGGAAAACAATTTCACACAGTTTAGACTTCAAACTTGAGTATTTTCTATCTGCGTAAAAACGGCAATCGTGCGTAAAATGAAAGGCAGTCGCTGCCATGAAATAACATATCTAAAAATGCCCATCTTTTATTTCTCCCGTAGTTATCAAATCAACTAATTCTGCTAAATGTAACTAAAGACGACACTTGGTCACCATGTCCAAGGAAAATACTGTTAAAGCCATCCCTTTCCCCTCGCGCTTTATGGTGAAACAAGCACTTTGCAGGCATTTCTGTGGAGAAAAGGTAAATCACGACCTACCTGTGCCATCCATCCCGCTGTAATGCGCGCTGCCTCTCGCAGACTGTGAAGTGAGCACTCAGATCGCTGGTGCTAAAACAGCAAGGGTCTCTGGGCTCCCTTTCGAGGGACAACTCACGCCCATTCTTTGTGTGTAGCCACTGCAACAGGACTCCCCACTAGGATCCTTCGATTAAGAGCACATGCGTGGACTTATGGTTTTGTTTACATATTAATCAGTTCGATGTATTTGAGCTCGGGGCCCCTGGGGACTTCAGAGATCACTGGCTCTCATATGTCTGTTATATGCTGTGAGTTTCTCATGTCACTCCCTGATTAATCTGAAATGAAGGGGGTTGCAGCGTTTAACGCAGCTGTTGCACGGCACATTCAGCATGCATGGTGGCCTATATGTTACTAATTTCAGACTTAAACAAGCGCCCAATAAAGATCCTTGTGCGCCATCCAGTGGCGGATGTAACTCCTGCAGAGTGATAATCAGGATAAATCAAAGCATTAAATAAAATAACATCCTTCTGATGTCTGCTGCAATGTTTGCTTTTCAATCCACATGCACATCACATCTAACAAACACCCCATAAGCGAGATGAAAGCATGGTGATACTTGAGAAAATGCCCTGCACTTCACAGAAAATGTCCCGCACCTCTCTGCACAACCCTTGGCCTTTCTTTTCAATCCCTGACATGTCATCATCCTTTGAAGAGCCGTGTAGAGGGTCCCTATCACAGCCCACACCTCTGAAGAGTCTGAGAGAGGGCTTCACAGGTGGTGAACCTTCACTTTAGACCTTTAATGAGCTGTCATTTTCCTACGTAAAGATGTGCTAACCGGCCACATTATGCATGGTACTCACATCTTCATGAGAAGGCACCTTTTAGTCTTAGACTTCAGTAAATACTGGGAGGAAAAGTCTCCTTCAACATATTTCTTCAAAGCTGCATTTTGAATGCATGCGAGCAGAGTGGATAGGCGGGGAGGACAAATATTTTTCCTTCTGATGTCACTGTGAATACACTTTAAAAGCCTCGACACACAAATACAGAATTTGAGGCTTCCATAAATACAGCGTTCTTTGATTACGATCCAGGACTTGCAGAGCACAGAGAAAACGTTATTTTAGACTTAAACGTGGTGATTGTTCCCCCCTTTTCTCAGCCGCGTTTGACAAACATTGCACTGTCAGTGCTGGCTGCCAAACCATGCGGAAGAGTGACATCAGGTATCCAAGAGCCACAACTGACCCCAGGCCTTCAGAAGGACACACAGCTACAGAAAACATCAAATGTCAAGTACAGGGGACATGCAAGGGGAGGGATGTGGCCTACATGGCAGTGCTGTACTAGAGGCTGCCTTCACTTCCATCAGGCTGTCTGATCGGCAAGACTGACGTTATGGTGATTTTCCCTGACAGCTAGCAGAGCCTACTGGCTTCCAGGAACGGGGAGGTCGATTATGTGATGGCTCTCAAAGCAAGCCATCTGCTTTTGCAAAGAATAGAATCAGCATCAGCAGGGTTTTATTTTCTGTACATAAGTCACACATCATAATTCCTCTCATGTCTTGGATTTGTTTTTGCTTTATGAGACACTACAGGGAAAAAAATGTTCTTCATTCACTGGTCAATTTTGAGATTTTGTTCTATATTGCTCTCCATCATGTCTCCTTTCAGACCAGTGGAAAGAAAATATCTAAATTCCACATTTAGCAGTTTATTTGACTAACTTTCTCTATAGGCTATGTGTCTGCAGATTTCTCCCAAATTCACCAAAAGTTAGCATTAAAATGTCTGGGTAGTTAAGTTTAGGTTAGTCCAATTGGCTTTTATGCTTCTGTATACATATGATGCTGCCATTCAGAGGAGGCCAACCGTTTGTGCCCACTCCACCATATGCTTCACACAGTTTAAAATACCCACTTTATGACAAATATCTGTCCGTCCATCTGCCTGCCTGTCCATCTGCTAGTGTGCAGCTATAAATGATTCTGCAGCTTCAAATCTGAAATGAGGTCAAACGCTCAAGCAAGTTCATTTCTGAACAGCTCTGAAAGACGAAACCCCCCCATAGTGAATTTCGTTGTGTCTCTCTTGACTTATATCGGTTAAATCTCACCTATCTTAGCATGTGTGAGGAGATAACTAACATCAGACTTACCTGTTAGTCTCCTGCTGGAGCCGGGCTAACACCTGAAGAGGAGTTCTGTTGCTAACAAGGTACTTTTACTTTGTGTGTGTGTGTGGAATCAAATTGTACAGACCAAAATACTTTTTATTTGGGGACAACATGAGTTAAGGGGGCTCTTTTGTCCAAGCTTTGTCTTTCTGAAAACCCTGATCAATGATGGTGAACTTTAGGGTTTGTGTGACATTTAAATAGCTTTTTCTTAAATGATAAATGACACAGGAATAGAGGGTTATTGTCAGCACTATATACTGTACTGTATACACATATCATAGGCTTTGAACGGAGAAGAAAGTGAAGGGGAGAAAGATAAAGGAATTTAGGGCAATTGTAAGCCTAAAGTATAGATGAAAAAGATGGATATAATGTGGACCTGGTTATTTGCTTATGTAGCTATACACATGATTAAAATCCTATTCTGGTCCACATTCTCATTATCAAAGTCACCTTCAACAATTGCACCAACTCTAGTGTGCCACGGTTTTATTTTTTAAAATATGCAATGAGTCCTTCACAAAAGCTTTTATTTTGAAGGTGACTATTTGCCACTCTCCACCGGAAATCATTTTTAATCTGCACGCGGACGGAACTTGACTGGACGTCTTGACTGGCGAATGGATGCTGAGTTTAGGAAATTCACTTAAACACGGTTATTGTTCGACCAAAAAGTGCCCAAATAGCGATATTTGTTCACTTAATAGTGGATGAAAACGTAGTGACTGGTTTCCATTGTATTTTATGACGTTATACTTAAAAAGCGTGGTAAAATAAACGGTGTAATGGCTTCAACTTCCGATTAAATTAAAAAATACATAAATAAATTAAAATTGCTACCGCACCTGAAGCAGTGAGGACGTTCAAAAGAGCTCACAAATCACCGTTAATCTTTCTGGAAAGGTAATACCTGTGTCATATGCAACACTTCCGCCATTAAAACATTTGTAAATTACTTATCAAGCGAAATCAATACAGGTGAATGTAGGCTGTAATCAGTGTTGTCATATCTTGAAGTAAATTTACTTACGTACTGTACTTTTTAAGGAACCTGTAATTTACCAAACTATTTCCATTTTATGCTACCTTATACTTCAACTCCACTACATTTTGGAAGCCAATGTTCTACTTTTTACAGTAGGCTATGCAGCAACTCTCTTTTTGTTGTCAGAAGCGTATAAAAAAAGATTGATATGTAGCTTGCCAATAGACACCTACGCTAAAGAGATAAATCAGTGATGTCTCTTCTCATCTTTATCACCCTCTTCATGTCTTTATCTGCAGGCTGCCATTGGAGATCCTGTTGAAGATTCTGTCCTACCTGGATGTCTCTGCTCTTTACACACTCAACCATGTCAACAAGCTCTTCTATCAGCTCACCAATGATAAGTAAGTACCAGCAATACACACTGAACTTAAAATACACAAGTATTTAAGGAATGTAACGCAGAGTCATGGCACGTCGGAGCCCTAAACTGCAGATGGATCCTTCTCTTGTCAAGGCTTTTCAGTCTTATTTTCTTGAATCAATTGAAAAATCTACCAGTCGAGTGAAAGGATCCATTGACAGATTATTACATTAGTCTCCTAATCATTTGTATAATATTTTGTTTAGTCTAAATATATAGTCAACAAGATTTAGACGGATGTTATTTGGTTATATTGAGATGTTTTTTGTAAAGAGACAGCAGCCTTCACCACAGGGACTCACCTCAAGACTTCACCTTTTTAGGTTTAACACATACATTACCAGCAGGGAACGATACGTAGAAACTGGATTACATGTATTTTTAAATGGAAAACTAGTACGTGACATCTCCTAACTAAGAGTGGGGTCAAGTATTGCTGTCTAAACCAACACACACGTAACAGAAGGACATGCATTCAATGACAAGACAGAGGATTATGTTGATGTGTTAGGTTGCCACATGTCTGACATTCTAACACATCAGATGTAACAAATACCATTCAGTGGTTTTCACTCACTGCAACCTCTCACCTTCCTCCATCGGTGCAGTGTTCTGTGGGAAAAGATCCACAAAGCAGAACATGAGAACTTCTGGAAGCACCAGCACTTAAACTCTTTAATCAAATATGAACTGAAGACGTTGAGAAGTAATCTTGGAATCCACAACTTTGACACTGGAATGCCCAGCCGAACAAAACAGGTCCTCAGCTAAGAGGAGAAAGAAACTGCTTTTCCTGAGGTGTTGGATTTGTTTAATGAACCAAGCCCTTGATTTTCCTTAGCAGACAATTGACTAGCCGGCCAAGTGTTTGTGAGTTAAGCTAATTGAGTGCTAACCATGTATTCTCAAGCATTTGAATCCCTTAGCTACGCGGGTCTCATTATTTCTCCTCGAGTCAACCAGTTTTATATTTTAAAGTTTACTTAATTGCAGCTAGAAGGGGGTTTGTTGTGTGCCATGTAGGGTGTGTATCTTTCTGTATATCCTGATACTTTGTGTCACGATTTGACTCAAAATCGATTCTCCTTTCAAAACAATTCCTGATACAAAGGGATTCTGTATCGAGTACATAAGGGTGATGATCTACTCAAGTGCACGAATAAAGCAGCAAATGATAACTTTAAACCACAGTAAAGAGTGTTTAGGATTATGGAGTTTATATATTTGAAAAAGTCCTATCAACTAATTGCAGTAATGTAAATGCAGTGGAAAACTTAAGACAAAAGGGAACATTTATTCATGCTAAACTTACATAGATAAACATCTAGATCTCTATTGTTACATGAATATACTTGTTTTTTTTAATATATATAACTTTATTTTTCAGTTTTTCACAAATACAGTATGTCCAACATTTATGACAAAAAGTTGCAAACCCCCGAAACCCCACCCCACTCCCCCTCTAGGTGGTATTCCCCTATGAATAGACAAACATACAACAGACAGATACAAAAA